ATCAATGATTCTCTCTCATCATTGATGTTTCTATGTCTCTCTCCCTCTCCCTTCCTCTCTGAAATCAATAAAAAATGTATTTTTTTTTTTAAAAATAGCCATTTCCCTAGAGTGGCTCGAAACGTCTCACTAAGGGACTTCACTTAAGTCTAATTGGCCAGAAATGGATCATAAAGCCACTTTTGGCTGAAATGGACAATAGAAAAAAAAAGTGAAAATGTGGATTTCATTGAAAAAGATGTGAAGCCCTGAGCAATGGTTAGAGCATTGGCCCTTGCACCAAAGAGTCTTGGATTGGATTCTCTCTTGTGATATTTAATGCACTTATGTAAGAACAGAAAGACAACCTAAGCAGCCAGGGCAACATCTGGAATATTAAACTCAAAGTGCTTGGGTCACAGTGTGGACAACCTGGGTTGCAGGTTTGATCCCCAGCCCTCTCACATAGATGTTTCTCTCTCTCTCTCTCTCTCTCTCTCTCTCTCTCTCTCTCTCCCTTTTACTCTTTCTTAAAATCAATGGGAAAAATATCCTTGGGTGAGGATTAACAAAACAAAAAAAATGTGGAGGCAAAGAATTACTGTGAGGTAGGCAATGAAATGTCACATATCACATAACATCATGCTTCTGATGGAATTCACTGGGATGAATGTCATTCTAACACAGACTCATGCTATGAGAAAGACTCAGAAATTGGAGTCAGAAGATGTGGGAATTAAGCATTTAAAACGAAGGTGACAATTATTCTTATCTCACAGGATATGTGTTAGGCTCAACTGTCATTCAATGAGGAAGTGTTTTGGTAACTAAAAAGTGTAATCTCTAAATATCTCAGTTAAGACATGTTTAGTTGTAAGTAAAAGGAAATTTACCTCCAATGGACTTAAACAGTAAACAGAATGCATTGGCTCTTATGCCAGGCACTTTAAAAGTCTGGTGATAAGTGGGCTGCAGGCACAGCTGGAACAGGGGTCCATCTCCACTTCTCTATGATTCTCTCAGCTCTGTCTTTTTCCATGCATTGCCTTTATCCATAGGCAGAGGGTAAGCTATAAGCCTCACATGTGCACAACACAAGCAAGAGGGAAAGTCTATGTCCCCAAATTTCTAGTAGATGCGTCAAGATGTGCTTTGATGGAGCTGGCTTGTGGCACATGATTTTCTCGAAAAGAATCACTGAATAGAAAAGTGGGTTTCGCAAAGAAGAGTTCCTTCCGTGGAGCACATCAACTGCGCAGGAACCTCAGGGATTCCCAGTAGAATCTAAGGCCTGTTGGAAAGAGGGAAGGGGATAGTCAGCAAGTAAGCACCATGTGGCTCTCATTGTTATTCTCATCACTGAGGCATACAGGAGTGTGGGCTTGAGAAGTGTATAAAGGTGAACACTGACCCTCTTCAGTTTTCTCTGTCCCCGGGCCTAGCAGAGAAGTTTATGAGAAAAGCCATACAGGTGACCTCAGCATAGTTATATTCTAGAGGGCTCTGGCCTGGCTGTCGCTTTAATTCAGTTTGCAGTATTTTCTCAGAAACTCCTTTCTGTTCCACACCCAATAGCTCTATCTTAGGTTCCCTCTCAAGCTTTTAATTTCCAGCTTTAGAAGCTATCAGCTGTTTGGAGCTTTCCTCTCCAAGCATAACCGTCCCATTTTGTGCCACTCAGTTAAGCACCTTTTGTGATGTTTAATGCACTTATATCAGAACAGAAAGGCAACCTAAGCAGCTAGGGCAACATCTGGAATACTAAAGTCAGAGTGCTTGGGTCACAGTGTGGACGGCAGAAAAGACTCAGCCATTCAGTAATGTAGACAAGCAAAAAAGAGCAGGGTGGGTTCAGGCAGGGAGACTCGCCACAGAGAGAGTGATGAGGATCAGAGAGTGATGACAGGAAAGAGCAGCTCTGTTTGGGGAGAGGGGTGCCTTGGGGCCTTGTAATGATGTTGATTATTAGAAATAAAGGAGAGTCTGCATTTCAAATGGGCTCCTCCGTGATTTTGATGCACTCCAAATATGGAGTGTTGGGTTTATCCACATCTACCAAACTGGAATTTCCAGAGGTGGCCTTGGAAGTGTATAGTAATTATAACCAGGCCCCCAGCCCCAGCCCCACTCCCAAGGGATTTGTGCAGCCAGCCACCATCTGCTGCAACTGACATTTAGGAGCTACTAATCTGAAAAACAAAAACACCCATTTCACAGATGAAGATATTAGAATTCAGAGAAGTAAACCTCCCATCTTGCCCCACAGCAATCCCCTCTTGCAAAAAAAAAAATCCAAATGTGGCAAACAAAAATAAAATGAAAGAGGCTAATCTAAGAAGTAATTCTATCTTTGCCCTTTGCTGTCCCCTCAAAGCAACTAAAAATCCATCCCTTAGAGCAAGAATTCTTAATCTGGGGGGTCCATCAACTTGGTTGTAAATAAAATTACTTCCTTATTTTCACTAAACTGAAATTTAGCACATCCATCAATTGTGAATGTAGGCATCAACCCATAGCAGAAGAAATCCTTAATATCACCTGTAGAAATCACAGATATTTACACTTTAGGATCACATTGCAGTTGTTACACCTTGAAGTACCATTTAATTCATCAGTACTTTGAAATTATAGGAAGTTTGGCCCTGCCACTAGCTCTTGTCATTTAATGCATTATTGAAGAAGCACATAAACTTAAAATACTTTGGTAACTATATTTCAATATAATTGGTATCCTTGGTGATCCATTGTATTTTATTATATGCACGTAAAAACATTCTTCTCAGGAGGGAACGATGAGGCCAAAGATTCCCGTAGAACAAAGAATGCTTAAGGAGCCCCGCTTTGGGACAACCATTCTGAAGATAGTGCCAACACACACACACACACACACACACACACACACACACACACACACACACACACACACACTTCATACACACCCTCCAGACCAGCGCTTCCCAAACTTGCCAGGCAATAGGAATCACTCCAGGGACTTAGTATTCTGCGTGGGGCCTGAGAATCATTTTGTTTAGCAAGAGCCTCAGGTGCTTTGGGAAATGCTGCCTTATAATCAGTAAATTGGGGAATGCTGCCGCAGGCTGTGTCTGTTGAAAAAAAAAAAAGAAGAAGAAAATCAACAGCCAACTTCTGTACCTGAAGACACTTTGTTGCTTACTCCCACTTTCTGTATTGCCAAAGGGAGCTAGTTATACTCATTAGCAAGTGAGAGTAACACCACCTGGCTGCTCGATTATTCTGAAGTGAGTTATTTATTAGAATTTAGGGGAAAGGTAGAATCATGTCTCTAAAGAGGCTTAAATCAATCAGACTTTTTTTCTGCTATAATTTTAAAAATCACTTTACCTTTCGAGTTCTCCCAACACTTTCTACTTACCTCACTGTCAGCACTTATCACTTTGTATTATAGTTATTTTCTTAGTGTCTATCTCCTGGGCCCTCAATTCACCCACACCCATTCACACATTTCTCCCCCTAACATGCACACACTATATTCTGAGGCCCTGGGGACAAAAAAAAAATGGTTAATTCATTTCAGTTCACCTACCCAAGCAAAGTATCGGGCACATAATGGGCACTCAATAAACATTGGATGTATAGGGGGATGAATGAGCAAACGTCAGCTCTTCTTCCTCCTATGTTATCAGGATGAAGTTAAATTGTACGTCTCCCAGAAGCGGAGTGTTAAGGTGCTGACCTTTGAGAGGCAAAATAGAGTTCTGGTTAATATTAAGAGTTTGAAATGCCAGCTCCTTTTACTAGCAATGTGTTCTTAGGCAAATTGTCCAACTTCTCTCAGTCACCATTTTGTTATCTATAAATTGTAAATAATGTTTATCTCATTGGGTTATTATGACTATATATATCCTTTGTAAAAAGTTTTTCAGGGTGGGAGGAGGTAGAAGAGGTTATAGGGGGGATAAATGGTGATAGAGGGGAAAACAAAATAAAATAAAGAGAAAATAAAGTGTTTCATTCTCAGAATTCCTATAAATTCATATTTGGCCTTTATTTATATAGATCCAAATGGTTGAACTAAAAGACAGAAAGTAGCCCCACCTTGATCACCAGTCAGGGGCCTGCAGGAGGCAGCTGATTAATGTTTCTCTCTCATCTATGTTTCTATGTCTCTCTCCCCCTCCCTTCCTTTCTCTCTAAAATATAAATGAATAAGTAAAACATATTTTAAAAATAAAAGAGAGAAAGTAAATCAGCAGCCAAATGAGCAAAAATGATGACTTCAGAGCTAGTTTGGACTTCTCACTGATGCTTTTAAACAAGATATCTTTGATCAGAGCATGTCAAAATAGGGTCTGCAGATTACCAAATATAGTGATAAAATCAAATGCTACAGCACCATCTTTAAGCACTATCATTTCAACAATGTCTCCTTTTTTCGTGAGAAGCTATTTCAGAGGCAACTGGACCTATTTTTCACTCCCCCTTCCTCGTAATTAGCCATTGGGCCTGCCCACCAAGGACGCTCAGCTACAGCCAGGGACACAAAGCTCCACGGGTTTGTCCTTGAGAACTATGATCCCCATGAATGGCAGCCCTACAGATAGGAAGCTGGCAAAGGAACAAAAGCTTGGCCCCGAGAATGGCATTTGTGGACATTCTGAAAGTGGCAGTCTCCCTGACAGATCGCTCTCATACAATAAGTTTATATAATTTTTTAATAAAATAGAAATGTGCTAGAATATAAATTAAATTGTCTGTTTTCCTGGCTGTTTACAAGTATTACAGCAAGTTCTGGAGCTTGAAACGTATGGGCAAATGCGTGAGGTCAGAGTCATCCTCACTGATTCTGCAAATGGTAGAGAGGATCGGGGCCCCTTTCGAATGCCCTAGACCCCCGCCTTTCTCCCCACTTCTTGGTGGATGGGACCCGGTGTTGAAGGCAAGCACATTGGCACAGACTTATCTTACATAGGTTTTTAGAGCTGTTGCTCCAAGATGCTTTCAAGCTTCAGAACCAGAAGCCAGATAGAATTTCATTTTGGAGTTAAGTTTTATGAAAAGCGTGTTCGCTGCTTATTTCCTGGGTCTAGGGTGAGCTCTCCACCGGTCGGAGGGCTTCAGAGAGGCAGCTTTGGCACAGTGCCCACCTCTGGCAGTACCCCACACTCACTTACTACCAGCTATGCACCTATGGGCATATCACTTAACCACATGAGCTTTCATTGCCTCCTGAGTTTGAACTCAATCAGTGATTCTCAAATTTTGGTGTGATTGATTTTTTTTTTGGGGGGGGGGGAGTATTGATTTTAAAATGAAGACCCATGGGCCCCAGCTCCAAAAAGTCTAACTCAGAAGGTCTAGGGAAGGGTTCAGAAATCTTCATCTCTAAAGAGTTCCCCACTGTAGGCCACAGTTGAGAAACGTTGAACTAATTGATTTGGAGGACCCCTTCCAGCTCTAACCTTCTAACATTCTGTGATGTCGCCCTTTCTTGTGTGTGACCAATCTTGGGCAGCCTGTCACTCCCTTGCTGTCAGCCTGCCCTGGGAAATGACGATGTACCAACAGGGAGGGCATGTCAGCGTCTGTAGGGGGCAGCCTAGGGAAGACATCGAGTTGATTGGGTTGTGTCCCTTCGCTGGGGGAGGAGCACTAACATCTTGTCTGATGCCAGGTGACAGGTGGAGTCTGGAATTTCAGCCGCCTTTGCTGTGATGTTTTCGTCACCCTGGATGTGATGATGTGTACAGCCAGCATCCTGAACCTCTGTGCCATCAGCATCGACAGGTAGGGCTGGGGTTCCCGCCCTGGCTGAGGAGAGGGGTGGGCTGGACCTGGTGGGGAGGCTGCTCTTGCTGTACTGGAGACACAGGCTTGGCATCTGAGGGCACTGGGGTCACTGCCAAGGAGAACTTCCCACTGGGACATGCTTTCCTCTTTTTCTTTTAAACTCTGGTTGTGGGTGAAACTCTGTGACAGGAGAGGAATGGTTGTTCTGCCAGCTTTCGTAGCCTTGCCTTTCCCCCAGGTCACTAAAGGGGAGTCTGCTTTTGCTTTCCACCATCTTTGGGGTTTTCTGATTCCTAATGGGAGAAGGGAGGTGGGGGACAGGATGAAAGGTGAGCTGATTTGGGTGGGGAAGACAATTTCCTGTTACTATTTTGTTTGGTTTGGGTAAAAGGAGGGCAGAAAGGAGTCTTTTGTGTGATTTCTGGACATTTATTACATAAATGTGATATTTACAGAAGTAACAGACAGCCTCCGGTTTGCTGAATCATCACCTCCGCCACTAAATTCTTATACTGCTCCCTGCTGTGTCTATTACAGTGCCTTGGACAAAGAATAGTAAACTGAATTCAGTGGCCCCTGCCTGGGCGTAGCCAATGCTTATGTCACAAATACACATCTTCAGACAGGACAGGAGAGAGTGGGAGAAGGTGAGCCTTGAAGGGGCAGGGAAGAGCTGCAGAAAGAGAGCTTCTGAGAGGCCTGGGACAGCCCCCTCCCAGCCTCCTACTTCCTGACCTTACTGTCTACCCCCTTGAGAATGCGCCTGTGCACTCCATCCTCACACACTCACATGCGGCTGGTGGGTGAGGCTGTGCAGGTTGTGCCTTGCGCACGAGTGTGGGGACCGAATTCGGCCAGTGCTTCACTTGCCAAGCCTCGAGTCCGCCAGGAGAGGGTGCCTGTTCTCATTTGCCCGCGAGCACCATTGGCCCGCAGCAGCCACGCTTAACAAACAGTTTTGTTTTCACTACTGAAGACACAACCAACAACAATAAGCCTTGAACCGGTTTCTGTCCCGAGCAGGAAAACTCCCAGAATGCATAGCACTCACCTACCTAAAACCTGAAGCTGCTTACACCTTAGACCCCAGTGGAGGAGGATGCTCCTTTCTGGGCTTCAGTTTCTATATGACCAAATCCTCGCCAAACCTCCAACTGGAGCCTCCTTTCTAGTCCAGGAATGAAAACCTGTCTTGGAGAAACTGTCTCCATTCTCCTCCACCGCGGTTTGCGGTGCACCGTGTTAATTTCTGTTCGTGTGTCGCCAAAGAACTGGCCAATTCATTAAAAATGCAGTCCTTCAAGCAGACCTTGGTCTCCACACAATGCTAGTCACCAGTCTGACACACTGACCCAATGGATTCAGCCTTTTTTGGTCATGAAGCCCTGGTCTGTAATGACAGGAGAGCAGGAGATAGGAAAGAAAGGGAAATGTTGAAAGCGTTTTCGAAAGCAAGGAATACTATTGTCATTAGGTCCTTAGGCATAGCTCTGATGCCTAAGAATTGGATTAAAGCCGCCTTTTCTTCTCAACAAAGCAGAGTGGGTGAGCACAAGGCCCCACCCCCTTGGCTCCTTGCCTCCCCAGGGGCCACATCCTAGGTCGGAACAAACTTGGGGAAGGGGCTGAGAAAGTGTCAGAGGAGAAGGACACGATGTGAGCGGGGAGAATGCCAGTCCCCCTCGAGAAGCCCGGGAATAATGCAACCAAATGCATTCACGGGGAGTCCTTTAAGTGGCTCTCAAATGGCGCCCATCACACAGGCAGCCTCTGCGTCCTTGTGGGAGCACAATAGGTACCAGATGGGTCACAGGCACCTTGGAGCTTTAGTTTGCATCTAAATAAGCACTTTATATCTGCAAAGGGCTTTCCAATCATTTGCAAGAAGCGTTTTTCTTCAACAATTCCATGAGGGGAGCCCACAGAACTAAAGATTTATTGAGCCCCCTGTCTGAAGAAATAAAAGGGGGTGAAAAGCAGCCCTCACAGAGCTCTGGGGCTCATTAAACCCAGGCCCTCCACCAGCCTGGCCTCCCACCTCCCCCACCGCCAGCTTCCTCAAGAGGCACCATCATCGGTTCCCCCACGCACACCTCCACCCTGGGACAAGGCTTTATTTTAGGCGGAGGTTGAATTCTGGGAGGATCTTGAGACCTTCAGAGTGACAAGCCCACAAACCCCAGTCACAGAATTGGAACTCAGGAAAGGCATACAGTTTAGTTCATTTCTGCAGAACTGCTACATGCTTGCACCGAGTCCTACAGCCTTTTGCTCAGGTCTGGGGCTAGAACCTGAGTGTCCCAATTCCCTGCCAGCACCTTTCCCTGGTGGAGGTGGGGAAGGGGCATCCTGGGAGGGGCCTCTGGCTACACCAGCAGCCCAGCTCTATCGGTGCTATTTCCCTGGAGTAAACAGGCAGAGTGCCCATGTCTTTAATGCCCCGGCTACCTCTGTGCTCATCCTAACTTGCCTGATGATAACAGCAACAATAAAAATAGCTACTATTTATTTAGCATGTACTATGTGCCAGGCACGACAAGCTTTTCATTACTGCTAACCCTCACCACACCCCGGCCAGGTAGGTGTATCATCCCCAGTTTCCAAACAAAGATGCTGCAGCTAGACTGTGTAGATAAGCTTGCCCAGGTCACACAGCTGGCAGACACAGGACTAGGGATCCCATCAGCCTCTTGCTCCTCTGCACACTGCCTTGAGCAGAGGGGCTTAGCCACACTGTGGGGCCCTGGCTCAGGGGCCACACTGCCCGCCTGCAAATCCTGGCCCTACCACTTAACAGCAATCCGACCTTGGGCAAGTCAATTAACCTCTCTGGGCCTCAGTTTGCTTATCTGTTTAGCATAATAGCAAAAGGTTGATATGAGGATTGAATGAGTTAATATCTGTAAAGTACTTCATACAGTTGCCTAGCACCTAGAAAGTGCTATATGCTTGCTTGATAAATAAATAAAATGTTCCCTAAAAATCAAGAATAAGGGGCAGACACCAATAAATCAACTGATATGAACATTCACAGGTCCCTTGGGCTTGCACAATAATGACAATTACAGTATGTACCACAGTGCTGGCTTTTGAATATTTAATATGTACCAGGCATTGTGCTAAAAAGCAAACAAACAACAACAACAACAAAAAAAAAACCTTCACATTCACTATGCATAAGAGCCCTATGAAGCGAATCATTCTCCCCATTGTACAGATGAGGAAGATAAGTCTTAGAGACTCACAGTTAGGTAGAAGAACTGAAATTTAGACGCTAGTCAATCTGTTTCTGACGCCCACGGACTTAACCACCTTGCACACTGCCCGTGTTCAGGCCACGCCAGAAAGAGTCCAAAGAATTAGGAGCTCAAACACCAGGGGAGAGGGCCTGGCAATGGAGCGGCAGGGACAATGCAGCGTCTGGGGAGCAGGCTGGGCCGGGAACCCCGCGGTGAGCGCAGCTGACCAGCGTTCAGAGGCGGCCCTGGCCTCCTGCTGCATCCAAGCCCAGCCCTGCCCGTGCCTGCGGTCGGTCATCTGCGATCGATTTGGGAAGAGATCAGAAGCTGAGCAGCCTGTTAGGTGCGAATTCAGGGCCCCTGCAGGGCTCTAGGAACCAGGGGGCTGAGCTCTGCCTCCCTCCCACTGGGCCTCGAGAGCCCCCGGGTGAGCAATGAACTTCTCACCCAGCGGAGCTGGCGGAGTTCTTGCTGCATTATGGTGCCCTCCGATGGCGGATTCCGGAACGGCCTCTGTGTCTCAGTCCCTATGGGAAACCCTGGAGGCAAGTTTGGGGGCCTCATTTATTCTAAATGTTTAATCATGTTTAAAAAAATAATTAGAAAAGAGTGTAATGTAACCATGGTAAATGTAGTCTCCTCTCTCACTTCTTACCCAAGTTAACCAGAAGTTAACAAGGTATTTTCCCTAGTGCAGACTTTCTCAAACTTGTCTAATCATCAGGTGCACTTCCTTGCTTGTTAAAAATACACATACCTGGGTTCCACTCCAGAAACAATCAAAATACCCAGGGATGTGTCCTGAGAATAAGCATTTTAACAGAACCCCCCAGGAAAGTGATAGAATCCAGTTCACTGGGGAAACTCAGCTCTGGACATAAGTACCAGCCACCCTTCCAGCCGCCTTTCCTGAGGACACCCTTGACTCCACAAGGCCTCAGAGTTGAGAGACCAGGCTCTGCCACGACCGGCTGTGGGACCGCAGGTTCAGCATGTAGCCTCTCTGTGTCTCTGACGCCGACGTTAAAATGGAGCTAGTGTTCCCTACACTTGCTGGCTTATTAAAAATTAACAGGAGCCTGCACGGAGTTGCTAAACATTAAAGCACGTTTAGGAACGTACGCCACTCTCAGTGGTGTGCTTGGAGCCGGCTGATGATGGCTAGCAGAAGCGAATGGGCAAAATTTTAAGAAGTTTTTGAGCCGGTTATTGAACCTTTGGTGTATCTTTAAACAAGGAAGGTGGGAGATTTGTACCATGGAAATTGACAAATGGTACAAACTAGGGCTTTCTTTACCCAGAGAGCCAGTTGTTGGCCATTTAACGGCACACCACTGAATGTATGGGATAATCAAGCTTTTACGACGTCAAAGGACATTGTGTAAATGGAAGGCCTGGGCCTAACCGTTGGTCTGGACAAGAGGAAGTGGATCATATTTTTCCTTCCCAGCCCTGACAGCTGCTTCCCTATGACAGCTGCAGGACTCAAGGCTCCGTCTTCTCCAAGGTGCCTCAGCAATCAGTGCTAAGGGCCAGACTGGGGTAGACATATTTGACTTGAAGGCTCAGCTCACTGCCCCAGCAGGGTCTGAAGTCCTGAGAGGGGTAAAAGGCCTGGAGGAATGCCTGGTGCTACTTGCCCTGCTCCTTCATCACCAAGTTAGGAACTCAAGGGAAGATTCGCAATGTATGTGCATCAGGAGAAGAGACCTGGGTTGTCATGGGCCTCCCTTAGGGTTAGTGGTGGGATCTTAATTT